AACAACAAAAATAATAAAGTGTAGTCTGGGGTGCCAGTGTAAAACATCAGTAGAATCCTGTGTGTTAGTGTCGTCTTAATTGTGAAGTGATTGTCTGGGTCATTGCTTCATAATAGAGAAGCAGTGTAGCAGGAGGGTGGAACAGTGAACTGTATAGCCTTTTTATAAATTTTGGTTTTCTAATGTTGTGATAAAACACGTTTTATAATTCTATTAAAACTAACAAAGATCACCTCGTTCCCTTAAACTATAAATTAGCATATTTTAATAAAAATGTATCTTTAATCTAGTAACTATGCTATATTTACAGTATGTGACCAGATAAATACCTAAAAAAAAAAAGTAAGGTTTTTTTGTCTCTGATTTCATGAGGCTGGTGAGTCTGGTCTTTCTTATAGTGTTCTCTCACCAATGCACAAAGGAGAATTCACATCATCAGGAGTCATGCCTTTTTCTCTCTTGTGCTGCTTCCTTGAAATGCACAGTGAAAGAGTATAAATAGCTCTAGTGACCTGGCTTGTTGTTACAAGCTGATGTATCCACACATTAAGCAAGGCTCAGAATGGATTACCCTACTTCTATTAAAATAGCTTGCATTAATTAGAAAGTTAAATAAGATTTGCTTTAGGGGGTATAATATATGACACTGAATGGTTGAAAATGCGATTTTACACAGCAATTCATTAGTGCTTGAAGCTGTATTGAAAAAGTATATTTTAAGTCATATGAAACATTTCTTGTTATTTCAGAATGGGTTTAGTGGGAAGCTGAGTGACTCAGTGGTGAAGGGTTGTTTTGTTTAATTTCTACAGGCCAAGACCCAGTTTGTGTTTTTTACTTGTTTTTTATAATTAAAAATAATTAGTCTTTACAAATAAGCACTTCTCTTTTACACACTGCTGTACATTGAAGTTTGAACAAGCTGCAGAAAAAATATGTATGTTTTCCACAGCAACCGATTATAAAAAAATGTCAAGAAAAAACAAGAAAAATATGAATAGTACAGTATGTATGCATTACTTTGCAAAGTTGAAATTTAAAAAGAAAACTACTGAATCAATGTTACACAAAAAAGATATGGATGTATAATTGATGTAAGAAATTATATATATTTGTACTGTAGACTGTTTCAATTGTCATTTTTATTGTTTACTATTTGTACACCACCCAAGATGTTCCCTGATGCCAATCTGTTAGCAGATATATTTTTGTAGCAAAAACTAAAAGGCTGCTACAAAATAATATATTCTAATGAACAACCAGCTGAAGAGTAGAACTTTTACCAAAATACATTTTATACTAAAATTGTTAGTATAAAAAAAGAAAGAAAAATAATACCAAAGATATGAAAAAGAGCTCTTCAAAAGCAATAAAAAAGTATTTTAAGTATTTAAGTATCTAAAAGTAAAAAATAAAACATATTATTAAAATACACAGCTGAATTCTACTATGTTTTTTTTTTTTTGCTTTGGATTGATTTTTAGTACATGTTTTGTACATCTATTTTCTTTGTTTTTTTATCTATTCCAAATTGAGTGCTTCTGTAATTTCAGAAATGTAAAAGGATTTCAGAATTTATGGATTGAATTTGAAAGAAGTATAGAAAATATTTTAAATCATATACAGTATACAGTATATATATTTACTAGTTGATATGAGTCGTCTTGAACAACGATTTTCAAAAGATAGTCCTAAAGAAGTATACCCTTGCATTCTCTTGGTGTTTAGAAGGTAACAAAAAGAACATTTTGTGATTTTTCTTCCTGCAATACATTTCTGTATACCCTCCCAGTTATTTTGTTTTCTCACATGCCCACACTGAAGTCATCCTACCTGTGTTTCCTAACACAGTGCTGTCATAACTCATAACAAATCAAACCTTCTCTCCAAATGCACTCGTAAGGGAAGAAAGCAAAATTTAAGGGTAATTTCAGATTGTGAAAGAAGAGGAGAGGCATGACTGTTCATTTGCACCAATCATGCCTCCCTTTCATCTCCCCTGATTAGGCCTAGTGTGGTTTCATCAAACTGTTCAATCACCAAGCTGTCACTCTGGCCGTCTGTTGATTGAAAACAATCAGGGCTCTGATGGCACAATTATTCTGACCCTTTAACTAGACGCTGCTGTGATAATGAAAGGTTGATTATGATAGTTTGTGCCTCCTTCAGTTTGCAGAGAAGGTTAATTTGGGCATCAGACGGATGTTTAATGGGCGCTAGCTGGCAATGCTGAGGTAAATGAGAACGTGCGGTCTCCGATATTGCACGGATATAGTTTAGCTGTCAATCATTGTCATTTAGAGTTTGAGACTCACACTCTGGAAATCACATTTTCTTTTTTTCTTTGGGATTTAATTTATTCTCTGCCCTGAGGAAGTTCTTTTATGCTATGTGACCTTCACAGCCAACTAACAAAGTAGCATTCTCAGCCTTTTTTCCTCTTAATCACACTGTATTCCAAAAGTGGATTTTTTTTTCTTTTTTGGGGAGTGGGGGTTGGAGTGAATACAAAGCCATCTGAAATAATGTAGTACAGGGTCTTTATCTCTCAGCACAGGTTTTTGCAAATCACACGTGATGTAATTATTCTGAAAGCTCCTACCGATGCTGTGGTTCTTGGTAGCTTTTTTAAATCTTCCTTTTGTAGTTGCTACTGATGTTAAAAAAAAAATGAACGAAGTTGAGTGTAAACTAAAGAAGAAAAAAATGGCCAGAAACAGAAAATACAAAACAAAAGCTAGAGGACAGTTCTCAGGGTATTTTAAAATAAAAGTTGTATTTTGATAGTGAAGCTGCTTGTATATTGCAGCTACAATAAGATGTACTTGTACATCTGAGTCTCAAATGAGTAAAATAGCACAGAAATAAACGGACAGATGGAAATAATGCATTTTAATGTTGTTTTGTCTTTTTGTCTTTGAATTTTTTGAAAGTCAATCTGTGATACTCTCATAGTACCATTTGGTTCAAATAACCCTATATGAAATATACATTCAGTAATAATGTATAATAAAAAAGGTGGCTAAATGGCTTAGACTCTCTGGCTTCTTCTCTTACATATAGAATTCTGGGAATTGTAGTGTCAAAGCCAGCAAAAAAAAAAAGTAGCACATTAACTCTTTTTGTCAATCTGTTGTCATGCATTCCCCTGAAACCCAAAGCAGTACACTGTATGTTATCACCAGTTATTACATTATGTCATAATGTACAGCTACACAGTAGAAACAAATAATTTACAGATTATTCTATGAGTGTTAATTAAATATTTAAACCTGACAGTATTAAGGGGACATAAATACAACTGTGAAAATTTTAGGTCTTTTTTTAGAATATTATCCCAATAATCTGGAATTTAAATGTTCCAGATTATTTTATATTTTATTTTAAATAAAACAGTGTTCAAGATATTCAAAAAAGGAAAACTACAATGGAAGTTTGGATTTTTTTTAAAAGGTTACCTCCTTCATAAATTAATTCTGAATTCAGAATTCAGAATTCAGAATTCAGAATTAATTAAAAGAATGAAAAACTAGAGATTGGGATAACCACCTGTGTGAACTGGAAGCATCAGCAAAGTCATTCAAATATATTCCTAACTGTTATCTGTTGTTCATACGTGATTTTCAATATAATTGGTTAAACACTCAAAATGGAAAAGCATTATGTTCAAAAAGCACATCTTACATTTTAATCCTGGCAGGCACATCCTCAATTTTTCTAGCTTTAAAGGTGTTGTATTGTTCTACAATAATATGAAATAATTGCAGGGTCCTGTAAAGGAAACTATTATGCTTGATTTGTGAAAGAGTGAAACAGATTTGTGATCTTCTCTCTCAGAACTGGGCTGTTTGAGGTGAATTATCATGCTAACATCAATCAATCTGTCTATCTCTAAAATACCTTTAAAAGAACCATAGCCTGCTTGATTTAACCTTTATTAAATTTAAATTTTCAGATACAGCTTTATGAAGTCAGGATATTGTATGTGCAAGAACACATTTTACTACTGTACATTTAAAGGCATAATTCTGAGGAAAAAGATTTATAACTTATGCTGGCACTGGCATTTTACAGAATTTCATGTCACAGCATCCCAGTAACCTCATTAAAACCTGGTTATTTCACATGGTAACAGAAATGGTTAACCATGCTTGGAAAAAAAAAATTCCCTGCATTTTTTTTATAAAAGTGTATACCTTTAACCATTCAATTCTTAACATGGATTGTTGACTTCAAGAAACTGTAACCTCTTACATGTCTTCTTTAACTATGCAAGGTCTTTTAACTTATACCTTAGTGTCTAAACCAACCTGCATGACCATCAAGTCATTTTAGAAGTTCACACCACATCAGCCTTGCTTTGGAGTTGGATGTTTTAAAACTCACTTTGTTTCCCTGATAATAGTATAATTTATTTTCAGCTATGTTAGCACAGATTGATCAGTCTTCCGTGCAAGTGTTTCCCCAAGCTAAACAACCTGAAATAGCTCTCAAGTCCAATTAATTTCGCTTTGTTCCTCTCTCCTTTGTCACTTTAACTCATTCCATTGAAAGTTCCGTTCGGATCTGGCTCAAGGAGAATCAATAGAAATTTCAAGCTAGCAGGTGTTAGGAGTTCATTTGCTGTCACCCAGGACCCTTCATAAACTATAGAAGAAGAAACTCTCCTAAATTGATACGACAACAGGCGATAATGATAGGTGTTTTTGTCTAATATAAAACTAAAACACTTCTAATCAATTTTCTGGCAACAATGGAATATTTGACACTGTTTTGAGATTTTGATAGTGTTTTCTTGAAGCTGAAGCACAATATTCTCAAGGTGTTTCTTATTTTCCATTAACAATGTAATGATCGACTGATCTTAATACATTTTGTAGATTTAGCCATACTTCTATTTTAAATATGCCTGTAAATGTTTGCCCAGTGATGCCCTGTGTTAGTGTGATTTTGTTCCATTGCAATGAATGGTAACTCTTACTGTTGATGTTCTGGTACAGCTCGCGGTGAGGTGGCTGGAGCACGACTCCCGTTACCAGTACATGGAGGAGCTCTTACAGTATGTACGCTACGGCCTTATGGACATGAACTCCCTCCACACTGTTGCCAAGTCCCACCCTCTGGTCCAAGCCAGCGAAACAGCCACATCTCTGATCAATGAGGCCTTGGAGTACCACCGAAGCACCTATGCACAGCCGATCTGGCAGACTTTACGAACCAAACCTCGCTTCCAGTCGGAAACACTCTACATCGTGGGGGGGAAGAAGAGGGAGATCTGCAAGGTCAAGGAGCTGCGGTTTTTCAATCCCGTAGACCAGGAGCACGTTCACCTCGCCGGCGTGTCGAACTGGAGCGAGCTGGCCCCCATGCCAGTGGGCAGGAGCCACCACTGTGTGGCGGTCATGGGAGACTTCCTCTTCGTCGCAGGGGGAGAGGTGGAGCATGCCACAGGCCGCACCTGTGCCGTCAGGACTGCCTGCCGCTACGACCCCAGGGGCAACAAGTGGGCAGAGATCGCTCCCATGAAGAACTGCCGCGAGCACTTTGTGCTGGGAGCTTTAGATCAATACCTCTATGCAGTAGGAGGCAGGAATGAACTCAGACAGGTGTTGCCCACTGTCGAGAGGTACTGCCCTAAAAGGAACAAATGGACTTTTGTACAGTCCTTTGACAGATCGCTGTCTTGTCACGCGGGATGTGTAGCAGATGGTTTGCTCTGGATATCAGGTAAAAAAAACCCACTTTTTGCAGTTCTATTCAAGTTTCTGTTTGTTGCCAAGATCATTTTTTTCTATACTGTTATCCTTTTCCTGTCTGCAAATTCCACTATGGGCTTTCCAATAGGTTTTACATTTCACAAAGTCAAGTCAATGTGATTGCCATTTTATTCTCAGCGAGTTACTGGGCAGAATGTGTGAAGTTTTAAATTTGAAATGTTCACAAATAACTGGCATGAAAATCAGGAAGAACAGAAAACACAAATCGCTCCAAAATTGTTTTCCCCTGGTGTTCAAATATGATTCATTAAAATTTGTTTTAAAGTTTCAGCTTATGTGATTATCCAACAGAATATAGTGGTTTTTGAAAGCCAAACTCTTCGCATGACAACAAGTGATGTCGAATAAATATTCAACAGCCATTTGCTCCTTCTTAAGGTGTTTTTTTATTTCATCTTTCGTTGCACTACATTTCGCACTGTAGTCATTTGTATTATCGTTCACCAGTTTAGCTGTAATGAAAATGTGAAATTCTTGTTCAGTTAAATGTATTTTCTATAAAAAATCGGAAGGTTTTGTTTGTGATAATCTAGTGCTGTAGTCTAAGATGATGATATTGCTGCGCAAGGACAAGGAAGTGATATTGTTCTGGGTCTTTACAGAAGAAGCCGGGTGCTGCCTGTTCTGATTCTTGTTAAATGCCGAACAGGTATTGTGCAATTAGTCTTGCTTTGGGACTGTAGCAACTATCCATATTTTTTAACCTTGGAACCACATTTTAATTTGTACTTATAATACAATCAAAATGAGATATGCCACTGCTCAAATTTAAATAATAAAAAGGCAGAAAGAGGCATGTTATTTTCACTTAAAGTAGTCTTAAAGTCTGACAGTAGTTACTTGTTTTTCCCTCTTGGGTTATGTCATTGTGGGATAACATAATTTGAAATCCCAGTGCAAATCAATGGAGCAGTTGGCGCTCCCCATAGAATTAAATGAAGCAGTAAGATACACCTGTCATATAATTAAAATCAATTAGTATAGTATAACAAATGAAGCATGGTAGTACCACAGACACGCTGCATTTGTAGGCTTCCGTCAACATGTTGTTTTTGATCTCGTCATGCATACAGAATTAAATACGCCTTCTAAACAAAAGTGACTCGATCCTTCTATGGCCTTCATCTCCAGGGTCCTGGCGCTAAATTAAGCTTAGTTCACACGTGGAAGAAATATGGAGTAGATTGGCAGCACAGCTTGAAAGAATTGGAGAACTTGGAGGATTTGAGGAAATCTCTCACATCTCTGGTAAACCCATAGCCAGTCAGTAGCTCGGACTGGAGCTTCCTGTGTTTGATAGTACCTAAACATTGCGTAAACAGACTTAGTGTAGTGTATCATCTAATAGAGTACCACAGTCAGGGGTAACGGTTTGACCACCATTATTTTTAAATAATGTGGTGTGTGATCTTTCCTCCTTAACAAGAAAACATCCTTTTATCATGTGATTGTGTTTTATTGTGTCTCTTCATTTCTCAGAGAGAAAATGTGGTGATAACGATTATGTTAATGGTGATAATTTCTCCGTCATTATTTTCAGATAATGTGTATCTTTTTCCATACTTTAGATTTCCACTCTAGCTTCTAGGGAGATGCCTGATAGTTTTCTTACAGTGACATTAGTTCAGCAGTGGACTTTATTTTAAACTTACAGCATTTCAAAAGCGTGATTGATTGATTGATTGAGTGATTTTTTCGGTTATGAGCCTTAAGTTAAATAAAACAAAGTTGAAACATCGTGTGTAAGTTCTAAATAAATCCCAGTGAAAGACATGAGCAATACACAATTGTCTGTATTGTTCAATGTTAGGGGTTGCTGTCCAAGGATTTATTCGGAATAGTTTTTAGCTAAGCAGGTCTTAGATTACATGCTGTTTGATTAGATAGATTGCCCAGATTGATTGCAACATTCTTATAGATCTGTTCTGATCTTGCACCCTGTGTTTTCCTACTGGCACTCAGTGTGAACACTCTAGAATTCTTGCAAAATTATATGTTTATTGTGGGTTTGGAGGAAAAATAGCATTTACAGAAAAAGACCAAGGTTGATAGTTGCAAATTTAAAAACTTTGCCACACTCTGAAAGACATCGAGATTTGACATCACCAGATATTTAAATAAACCAGAATCAAAAGATAGCTAGTTAGGCATTAGAGGCATACAGACCAGAGGAAGTCAGAGCTTGTAAACAACCTGCCAAAAAAACAGAATATAGAATAAATGAGAATACATACTGTCTAGGAAATCCTGTCTCACTGTATTTAATTTATAGTGAGCACAGTATCATTTTTAAATATGTTGTGGATTTAGTTATGTGAAGGCCACGTGACTGTGTATGTCCATATGCACTGTACTGTATGTAAATCATTAAATAATTAGTCACGCATATTGTATACAGCACATATATTTAGTTGTGTTGGCATTTTGACCTTCGGTATTAGAGTGAATAACTGATTCTTAATAAGAAAACAAAAAATTGAAATACTGTAATTAAGTAAAACAACTATAAAAGAATAAATAAAACATCGTGTTAGCAGCCCAAAAGTAATGGATTAATTTCCTATAATTACTGGCTGTTTGCAATCCTTCTTTTTGCCAGCAGGGTGTATTGGAGTGTGGCCGTATCTTCCCTTGTACCTGTTTTGCAACATTACCAAATTTCCTCATTATTGAACTCACAATAGCCTGCCTCTTGCATGGGACCTTGGGACTTTCCTTCAGTTTGGTCCCACCCACCTGGTTCTTTAATTGAATTAATTAATGTAATTCTATGGACACATACTGGTAGAGGAATTGCCTTCTGGAACTATTGGTCCTGGTGTGGTGTTTGTTTCTGTATGTACCCATCTTTTGCCAGTTGCTCTCTGGGATAGGCTGTGGTCTCGCCCTTGACCCTCTATTAGATAAAGTGGTTAGAAAATGGATGGATGGATAATATATACTGTGTATTCACTTAGGATATATCCCTAAATAAGCCTTAAACCATTGTATGAATCATAGCTGAAGTTTTAAAGTGGAAAAAAACGAAGTAGAAAAATGAAAGTGTTTGGAAGGATAGGGTGCTTTAATGACAGTTGCTTGCACAGAAAGCTCTTAAAATGCAGATTAGCTCCCTGGGGTGGCGAATCAAAATTGTCAATCTATATAATATACTTGTTAGAGAAGCCACCAAATCTAAGCAGTTGCTTTGATTGCAAGGGACAGTGTGCCAGCATGTGGTATCATAACCTAAACGCAGACAAATCAGCTTGATGACTTTCAAAGCTGAAAGAAGCGCTACAGGCAAGGGTACTTTGGTCTTGCAGAAATTAAAGAATACAGTAATCAATATTAATATGTTATCAGTTTAAGACCAGTCAAATCTGTATGCAAATCCCCAGCTTCTTATTCTGTAAGACTTGAAACATTAAAGGACAGTGAGTACATACAACATGCAGTGCACTGCAAGATACAGGAGAATTCATCCATGTCTCAAGACTCCAGTGCCACCCTCTGTATTTATTATGAGATAAGCAAACAAAAACTGTAGGCCTATTTATGTAAAATAACAGAAGAAGATCTGCTTTTTCATAGTATGTCACAAAAATAAATCACCTTTCTACGAATATGATTCCTTTTATAATGACATTCAATATCGTAATACATGTTAAGTAGAAGACCTCATCAGAAGCATGTTATTTGCTAGGCATCTGTGAAATCGTAGTAACAAAAAGCAATGAAATGGACTAAATATGCCAATATTCTGTATGTTGCATGACTGAAAAAAAATTTTTATTGCATGTTTATGTATTCTAACTGATCTACACAGCAAAACATTAAATCATAAAATCGACACTTTTTCTAAATTCATAGTAAATATTGCCCTTTCTTACAATAGTATAACAAAGGCAACTTGATGTCTTAAATTTCAACAGAATAAGATGTTACATGAAGTTCTGAATAACATTTAACATATGGTAATGTTTTAATTAATAAATAAAAACAGCACAAAATATTTCTTAAATGAAGCCGATGTAGTTGTAATTTAAGAATATGCTTTTCCATTTGGATGAAAATTTGGAGTTAGCTGCCACTAATGCAGCGCAGGTTTTGGAATATGATTTGTCTTAAGTGGTCTCACTCTTGTGTATGTTGCTCTGATTGCGGTTGTCCTTGGTTGCAGGTGGTGTAACAAACACAGCTCAATACCAGAACAGATTGATGGTGTACGACCCCGTCCAGGTGCGTATTACTCTCCAGCAATTATAGTCTTTTCATGAAACTTATTGAGTTTAAAGCCTTTTTCTTTACAGAAGTTCTTTATTGAAATCTTGAAGCCACACAGGCCATGCAATTGCATACAGACTGTAGACACACAGGTATACAAACCAGTAAATATGTGAATTATGCTATTTTTTCATCTCCTCTTAGGACTAAATATTACATACTGTAAAACACCTCTCATTCTCTTTGGAAATAACTGAAAGTATTTTCAGAGCTAGGTCCAATGATTTATACTTACTACACACTTACAGGTTTATGAATAAAAACAGATCCTCAGGCTCCAAAGTAGCTCAACCCATTCCAACAGATGTTTGGCACCAAGGCTGAGGTCTATAACCTTATGGCAGTGAGCATGTCATTAGCCCACTGTGAAATAAATATTCCACACATTGTAGCAATGCTGTTGAAGAGCCACTGGAGTTGGGTAGGCTTAAGGTTTGGCTTGAGAAAATATATTTGGTTTGACACAAAACAGTGCCACCAGCAAAGGAAAGCTTCTGTGTCTGCATCCCTTAACCCTGGCACAAGGGTTGTACTGTAGCACTAAAACCGAATTATTGGTCGTTCCAAATGATAGGGCTACCCTTTATATTAGATAGAGATTTGGACAAGCTGGATGGTTGCTCGGGTTCTCTAAACATTTTTGCAAATATTATACATGCAACCACATACTGGCAGTTCCAAATGAAGCTACTGTAACGTCTGGCCATGTCATAGGTGCTCTCATGCTGTACCTGGTGCCTTTTCTACACCTCTCCTAGAGCGCACTATGGTATATACTGTATGACCCACATGCTTTCAAAAGGAGTGTTGACTGTCCTGCTGTCCCTCTGACTTCAAAGACAACCCCAGGTTGCTATTAATCTTCAGGTACAGCATCTTTTGAGTTTAGGTCTACAGTGGCTGGCAGTGGCTGGAAGATTCTTAGGTTGCATTATTTTAACATTTGCCATTTTTGTATAAGCTAGTTGACCGCATCCAAATGATTTAAAAAAAATATTTAGTCTTAAATATTGTCATTTGGGAAGCATCTTTTTGGCAATCAAGGATGCTTGTTAGCATCATTTATGGTTTGGATTGACTGAAGCGTTCTCCACAGCACATGTAAAGCTGACTGCAATAAACTCTTTGTCCTGTGAATTTCTCTGATCTCAGTGTCTGTGATTTCAGTGGCAAGGCTGATAGGGATGGAGACGGGGGTTGTAGGGTCCCATCTTATTCACTGAATTCAGTACTGTACAAAAAATTATTATTTTTAACGCTGGTACAGCTCCTTGAAAATAGATGGCAGACCCTATCAGCCTTAAGTACCCTTTCTTAAAAACATTGTATATTGTACAATATGTACATCACGTTTTTCTGCTGTTTAATTTCGCACGTGCTGCGTCTCGTGAACTGTAATCAATTGTGAAATGACAAAACACCCGTCAAAGAGAGGTGGCTAAATTCAGAGATCTGAACCGATGAGCAGGGAGGGGACAGGCCGTGATCTGAAGGAGGTGTGGAGAGCCCGAAGGAGCGCTCTGCTCTCCTCTCCCTCTTCTCTCTGTCTGAAAGCTGTGTGCTCTGCGCAGACCCTACACTGTTTAAACAAGCGAGCGGGCAAACATTCCATCTGCCGGGTCTGGTGCAGAATCCCAATCACTTGCCTGCCGCTGCTGAGCCTGGATTGCGTTGTTTTGTTTTTCCTGCTCTGTGTGTGTGTGTGTGTGTGTGTGTGTGTGTGTGTGTGTGTGTGTGTGTGTGGATCCCCGATAATGCCTGCCATCTGCTGCAGAGCACACAGCTACCTGCTAACAAGCAGGCAGCAGTGACCTCCGCTTCCCCGCGGCTGATTAGTATTCAAACAGTGGTTTATTAGGAGTGACCCCTCCAGGCCCCAGCGTTTCATTGCCGATGTGGCGCGTGATGGCTCACCTGGCAGTCCTTGCAGTGACAGGAAGTGGAGATAGAATCAGGGGACCCATCTCAGGCGCCGACAAGCAGATGGTGTCTACTAGCTTCTGTCAGGGGACTTAGCAGCTAACCCAGAAATTAATTCTTACTACACAAACATTACAAAGTTTAATATGGCGATATAAATAATTAAATCGTTTTGGAAGAGCGAGAGACAGACAGATTTCAAAGATTTTTTTTGTGATTTCAAAACGTTTAGAATTATTAGAATAAGGTTGTGATGTACAAACTACGGCACTGAGGTATTGTTTTGTAATGTAATTTTATTTAAATACGTTGATCATGAACATCATTTGCCACATTAATGCTTTTAAGGCTTTGCTGGCAGTCAAAGGAGCAATCCATAATCTCTTTACATTATATCCCTGAAAATTGATTATCTCAGTTTTAGCAGATGATCTTTCATTTGACTTTTCAAAGAGCATGTGAATTTTGTTGTCTGGAACTTGCAGAAAGTTTTCAAATATTTTCCTAGATTGATCTTATTTTTGAAGTGCAGTGTAAAAAACAAGACAAAATATTCAGAACAAAAAATTGTATCAAGCCAGTGGCACAGAATGAATACATTGGCTTTTAAAGCTATTTGCTTTCAGTGCAAAATGCATTTTTATATTTTCTAGATGAATGTGAAAACAGCTGAGAGATACGTGAAGAAGATAGGAAAGTAATAGCTTTGTGCAAATTTGTTGTCTTCACTTTGAATTGTTTTTTTTTTCATTAAAAATAGTAGAGCAAAACTTGTCTTGATGCAAAACATTTGGAAAGTTATCTTTCAGTCTCTAGAAAAGATAGAGACTATAATGCAACTATACTGTATATAATGTAAATGCCCAGAATTATAAAGAACACCTGCTAATTCTGGAACCATGCATAGTGCAGGGAAGATAATTGGACAATACTTTCATCTTATTCATGGCAGTGCGCTACGTGCTGGCTAGTACAGTAACAATGCTAGTAACAAGGCCGCATGTTTTGGCTGTCCCAAGAAGAGAATTCACTGGTTTTGATTTTCAGCAAAGTTACTCTCTTGTGTTAGGGAGAAGTGAAGAATGGGAGAACTGCAAAGTATTAACACCAGCCATGCTTTGCCAGAGATGTACAGTATATGGATCAAGAAAATAAATTTAGAGTTTTTCCTACACAATCCTACACAACCTTTTTGTTTTTGTTAAAGTTTTGTCCAGTTTTTTAATAAAAATTCTAAAACAACAAGTGTTTTTCATTAAAAAACCAAGTTTCTAAATCCTAAAATATTTAGAGTCTCCACTTAAAGTGTTACAAACCCAAGTCGCATTTTTAAAAATACCTAATATGGCATAATAATGATAATTATGATATTCTAGCGAAGGTATAAACAACATGTGTCTAAAGAAACAATATTATAATTATTAAACCAACGTCCATTTATTGTAGAATACTGTACACTTCTTCAAACATAGCTATAGATGTCCTTAAAATATCTCTAAATTCTTTAACCATTCTTTAAACAGTCGAAACGTTATAATGATCCTGTTTTAACAGAAAATAAAGTGGATACTGTACACATTACCCTCTAGAAGATCACGGTATTTGTGATGTGGGTTACTGATCATTTGCATATGTGCTGCAGGTAGGTGGCTTGGAGTTTTAAATGCGACAGCTGTCTGGAACATTCCCTATTTTATTACCTACTGTATTCCACTGCCTCTCTAGGTGAGAACTGGATTGATGTCCTTTTTAATTCTTCCTTTTTTTTCTTAAACTGCAGAACAAATGGATTGGGCGCAGTCCCATGCTGCAGAGGAGAGTGTACCATGTCATGGCAGCTGTCCACAGGAAGCTGTATGTCCTTGGGGGAAACGATTTAGACTACAATAACGATCGGATTTTGGTCCGACACATAGACTGTTATGACATTGACATGGATCAGTGGACGCGCTGCACCTTTAGTTTGCTTACAGGTAGGTCTGCAACTGTCAGTAACATGTAATAAGAGAGAATGCGACCCAAGGAATGTTCTGTACTGCACAGCAGGAGGTTTGTACCTCTACAGCCTACGATGAACTCTGAACCCCTAAGTCATTATTAATGTACTATTTCCAAACAGTTATACAAAACACATTTCTGAAGCTTTAAAATGGATTCTTTGTCTTTGAGCTTCACGTCAATGTTCGCAGCAGAGGCTTTGGTTTTTGATATTCGAGTTTTATTGTTATGTGGTGCTTTATTCCCATCACATCATATCACCACCCAGAGGTCTTATCAGATTTCATTAATAAAAATCAACAGCTGATGCTTCTGTGGCAGCAGATGAAGCAGAGGTTTCCTAAAAGATTTTTTTTTTACCACCAATGTTTCATTGGTCAAGTATTCAGGGAGGAAGCCTGCATGATAATTTGCATGAACATTTGCAACCTGTATAAAATAAATACAATACATTTCTGTCAGACACACTGCAAAGTATGAAAATGAGAGTTTTTGAAGTACAAAGTCTCAGAAGGTCTTCTAGTAAATTTTCAAGCTGCAGCCCTTACCCGAGGTTGTCAGTTTGCACTATTTTTCAGACATAGATCATCGAGAAGCAATGATGATGGATTTATTTACCTCTTTAACAAAGTGGCTCCTGCTGAAAGTCTGGCAAGGGCAGACCTCATTTTCCCCAGTTTGGTCAAACAATCTGATTATGTTTGTTGGGTGTAATTATGATCAGTATGATGAATACGATGTATTGATCTTCAGCACTCAGCACTTATTTGTTTGTTCAGTATACACTGTAAAGGGAGACCTGCTATAATATCCTTTAATATTGTTCCTGCAGGATTTCAGGAGGGGTAGTTTAAATTCTTCTTATGCTTTTACAATAGTATTCTCCCAGCTGAACCAACAAAAACGAATCTGGATTGTGGTAAAATGACTGGGAACAATTGCAGGCTTCTGGAAGAACTTTCTTGCCAAAGCTGTTTTTTCCTTTTTGTTCACTGTGCTGATGAAAGACCTGTTTCATGCAACTCAACAACTAAGAGTTGAAACAGGGGACTGAAAAGACTTACTGCTTTCAGAATCCTATTTGTGCATGTAATGTGACATACGGTACATTAGATTTCTCAGTTCCTGCGATCTCATTCTAAAGTAATCTTTTATGCCTTTTCACATCAATAATATTATAGCTGGTACATATTCCACAAGTATACATCACAGTTATGCATTTTATACTAGGAGGAACACATCCTCAACAAATGTTTGTATGAAATGTGTTATCACATTAAAGTGGAATTTATCACCTGGTGTTTTATACTTTGAAGGGCAAAATGAGTCTGGAGTAGCAGTCCACTATGGAAGAATATATCTTGTTGGAGGATATTCTATATGGACAAATGAGCCATTAGCATGTATCCAGGTTAGTAAACCTCAACATGCCAGGTCAGAAACACATTAGGCCTCATTTAATTCAGGAACATCCACTGACATTTTTCTTTTAGAGTTTCAAGGTTGTACATTATAGGTGTGCAGCATGTGGAGATTATGATAATTTAGCGGAGAGCAATCCTGTAGTTACAAGAGTCATTTTGTGTTATTTGGAGGACAATATTTCCAAAAGAAAAAATGTTGAAATTTTAAAATACCTGTTTATTAGGCAGGATTCAGTGCATGATGTGGCTTTTACAAACAGCAAGGTGGTGTTTATGGGCGAAAAGGAGTTTATGTAAAAAGGAGTGTATTGGTGCCTTGTGATAAAAGACTCACCACGTTCACAGCAATTTAAAAACCCTTCAAGAAGGGGAGAAGTAAACAGCCCTGAAGTGGGGCCATGCTACGTCCCAGGGGAATCAAAAGAGAAGAATAACACCTTTGGTTTGAATTATTTAATGCGTTGCATATATGAGAGGCTATTTACCAGAGATCTAAAAGCACCATGACAACCCCACTGCCAATTAGCACTAGTCAGTCGGTCCATACACATTAATTAATATTCTCCTCAGTCTTTTTTGCTAGTGTCAGTTTTCCCCATGGCATGTTGCAGTATAGAATGTGCTTGACATGGAGCAGTTAAGATAAAATTAACTGCTGAAAATCAAATAAATTTTTTATACAGTTATTTTTTTTTCAGTGTCATAAGTAGTATATACTGTACAGTCCATTTGTGCTGAAGGGTTGATTCTCAGGTGTACCACCACAAAATCTAAACTGTTGTATCAGTGCATATCTGTAAAGCAACAAAAAAAACACCTCAATTTCACTAATTATTTACTGTTAAGAAGACAAAGCCTGTTAAAAAAACATTAAAATATATTTTACGTTTTATCTTTTATTTGGTCAACAAAAACAAACAATTTAGATTATTCGGTCCTCTATCAGAAATTATCCAGATTACCTTTGCTTAGGTATAGATAGAACAATATTTATTTAAATATTTACTGTTTTTTTTTAGAAATAGTTTCCCTATTACATGATATGTGTATCATTTAAATAACTGAGAAAGAAAGTAATTCAGCTCTTGAAAGTCTTGTGTGTAAAAGAAATGATTGTTCAGTCGATTTAGATTTGTGATTAATCTCATGACTATTTCATTTTCCCATTTTAAAACGTTATTTCTCTTATCTAGAAGTAATGTTTCAGCAAAACAATTTATTTTTATTATTAAATTCCTTCATCTAAATAAATCGAACCATGTTATGAAGACATTTGACCCAACATACAAAAAGATCTCTGTGCAGCTTGGATCCTTTTAACAAATTATGCATTTTTTTGTTTAAATATTCTGTTATTTACCAATTTTGCTGATGTATTTGAAAGATAATTCCGTAAGAAACTAAATTAAAGTGTATAAATCACAATGGAAAGTTTTTTAAATTAAGAAAGCTCGTAAAATTTATTAAATTATTGCACACGCTGCATTTTCTGTTTGTTTATTTTCTGTCAGTTTAGTCCCTGTTACACTAGCCAAAACGTATTCCACTGCAATACATTAAAAACAAAAAGAAATGTATTCTTCTATCTCATAAAAACACATACTATTTTTTTAGATCTCTTTTTAGGCATACTGTATGTATATTATACAATCTTATATTTATATAAAGATGCATATCTTTTTACTTTTATAAATGATGAGTCACTTAGATTTGAATGTTCATCACAAGGCTTTAATTCATAATGTTGTGACTGCAACATTTAGAAACCATCCTGTCCGCATGAACTCCTTCACTGCAATGCCAGCTGTACAGACTTAAGTTACTGACTTTACAGTACATCTTCCTTTATCTGTGCTTCACTCAGGTATTTACCCCTGTGCATATACAGTATATGGCAGATAAACCATCCTAAATGCATCTCTTACTCTGTAGGTCCTTGATGTCAGTACTGAAGGGAAAGAAGAAGTTTTCTATGGACCCACTCTTCCATTTGCTTCCAATGGAATAGCCACGTGCTTCCTCCCAGCACCATACTTCACATGCCCCAACCTCCAGACCCTACAAGTGCCTCACCACAGGATTGGTACTGTATAGCTGTGGCCATAGACAATGGCAACATCTGAAGCCCACAAGATCCTTCATGGAAACGACGCACAATAAAGCTCCCAACAGCCGAATGTTGCCTCTTCAAAGGCAGGTGCGGTTTTAAAAGACGCACTAAATGGGGGGTGTTTACGATTGAGTGTGATCCGCAGAAGGCGATGCTCTTGGCTCATATTGCAAACATGCAGTACATACAGTGTGACCAAATAGCTCTGTGATAAGAGTGGTGCAACATGAATTTATCTGACTGTTCCCATGAAGTCATTTACATTCATCAAGGCTGACAAAAAAGAATACGTTTCTAACTGTACTGGGATAGGGCGGTATTTCAGTGCTTGTTAAGTGTAGTTCCTTCTCAGTTGTGAATAGCATTTTTAGGGTTGATTTATAGCCTCTGCCAGATTTTATGCAATTGATTTTTTTTTATGTAACCTGAGATTATAAAACACTGAAGTTTTGCCATAGTCTTCTTTTCCTGCCATGAACGCTCTCAGTGTGAACGTCAGTTTCCTTGGGATTTTTTAAATGGTGTTTCCAAAGAAATCCTAATCTGTCAACACAGGAAACTCAGACTGCAACATTCAAGACTGCTTTTAGACTCAACTTCAATAGGTTATAACCCCAGCGAGGGTGAGGTAATGACCAAGAAACAATGACTTAGTACTACTCTTCTTAATAGTCCAAGAAGAATTTGAGCAAAGTTGAATTCTTGAATTTTATGTAAAATAATCCAAATGAATTGCAGATTCCTTATTTCAATCATTTTGGCAGATTGCTATTGTAGTTTCCGCTAATTTTGCACCTCAGAAATTTAAGTTAGTTTCCACAAGAAGAATCAAAACAGTTATACTTAAAATCTGCAGAAAATTTGCATAATCATATTAAACAGCCAATTCAGATAGTTGGCTATGCATTTCCGAGTGACGTTTTCCCATCACCACATCATGGTTTTACGAATGCTTTTGTTAACCAAAGCAAAAAAAAAAAGGTGTTTTAATTTCCAAGCAGTTTAGGTAGACAAATATGCATTATGTTAATATATTTATATTTATTGTATTCTTTGAGGAGGTCCATTGATATTTGTAAAAGTAATTACAGAAATGCTTACTGTAACAACAGCCAAGTTCTGCCTATAAATTGAATACTAATAGAAAGAACTCCTGTAATGAGACATTATTTCATGTGTGACAATACATTTACTTCTGGAATTGTGTTTCTACATGCTTCTACGGCAAAACAAATCTTGGCCAAAAGTATGTTGTTCCCTTCTGTAACTCCAACAGCTTGTTTACAGTTAATGTTATGGAAATAATTATTTTTTTCACTAAGCACTGCCTTTGAAGGGCTCATTACTTTCTGGTCAGGTGTGTTATACTAGAAAACAAATATCGCTGTTGCTACTAGGCATTTATGACCCATTGCAGAAAAAAAATCTTTAGTGAGAGTTTGCTAATTGCAACAAAGCTAAGTAAAGGATAACAAGACTAAAATCATAACCTTATGTAACCGAAGCAATCAGGTGTGCAGTTTTACAGAGAAAATATGAAATAAAAGCAATTTTGTCAAACTCTTTTGTGTTGTTGTGTAGTAATATTACAATTGGCTAATCTTTTTTTTTGTGAACTGTTCTAAACTTAATTTAATGAAAGAATGAATTAGAATTAGTGAATTATGGACCAGGACAAGAGCTGTATGAAAAAGGAAAGACATGAAGTCACATTCAATACAAAGGGAATAGGATTAAATTTCAGTTAGTTAAAAGGATATCTGCAGATCTGAGAACACTGCAATTGTTTTTGTATGTGTCATGTGCAAAGCAGTCCAGCTGGGAAAGGAAGGTTTTTAATGAGATTGGTGTGTAGTGGTTTTATATCAATTAAATACAGGTAATGTTAACAAACATGTTCCTATATCCTATTCAAAATGCTACACAAATTTTCAAAAACGTATAAAAAAACAAAATGGTTTTGGCAAGAGGAATCCATTCAGAAATAAACATTTTCCTCCAGCAAGTTAAGCCTCAGTTTGCTCTTTCTAAAACAATATTACATCAGTATCATGATTACAGAGATAACCTTGGATTCGTAACCGTGACTGTGAAGTAATGAGAACCCTAGCTGAGTGGTTTATCTGATACATGGTGCAGCATAAAAGAGGCACAGACTCTTTAGACACACTGGTGGCAGTGTTTCAACAAGAGACCCACTTCTCCTCTCCAGTGGTACTTTATAAATGACAGAATTTAGCTTTCAAGAGCCAGGCACCCTTATGTACAAACTCCTTATCAGATACCTGCTAATTCTGGAGGGGGTTTGAAGAGCTAGGTTTACAGTGTTTGTTTTTGGTAGTACAATAACATGTACAGTTGAACAGTAAGTGCTTTTACAAAAGTTTACTTTTGGGTGGAACAGCAGTGTAAAATGTACAGAGAGTGAAATCATATTGAAAGTAAGGAAAAGCATAAAGGTGCTTAAGGACTATTCCTTATTAAAAACTCCAAAGCATAAAGGTGACCTGAGTGTTTCTTTGTTTACTCCAAGGTCCAGTTATGGGTGGATGCTTCTGTGAGATGGGGCCCCATCAGTGCCCCCTGTTTAAGCCCTCCATAAACTCCAATATAGATTTGTTTCAGGCATGTGAATTTTCCAAAGCATAGTGTGTGTCCAAATGTGTCCCCTAAGGGAATAAAGGCTGTGGCAGGAATGATGCAGGCACTGTACGTGCCAGAACCAGCTGCACCACTACATCACTACTTCATCACTTTGTGCCATTTTTGATTGATGTATTTCAATACTCTTTTCTCCGACAGGAAAACATCAAATGACTTTTTATTAAACACTGTTTACTTCACATCCAGTCATTTTGAAAAAGTTAAAATAATGTTTTTTCTTTTATTTATATTGACCTGATTTCAAGGCACTTAGAATAAGAGCTAGGCTACTCTTTGACATGGAAACAAGTATTTAATATTGTGATACCCATTTTATCTAGCTGTATATATAGTACAGACTGGCACATTTAAGGCACCACCACAACTTTTCAGTGATGAAACATCCTTCTAAAATAGACTCGGGCCATGGCATGGAGCCGTCTCTCCAAAGGAGAGAAATACAAAGGTTTGATATCATGGAAATACTCAAACTTAATTTCATGACCATCTGGAATCCTTGCTGATTTGGTGGGTAAATTACAAGAGCTGAAATACTCCCCCCCCCTCAGAGGGCAAAATTCTGCCTTGTTGATAAAAAAAAAAAACTTTTGCTTACATGGTCACTCGTAAGTTGGCGGATAACTGTTTTGTATTAAAAGCACTTATTTTGAGAGGGAATCATGACCATTCTCTCCCATTGTTTGCACAGCTTCATTTCTGCATGGAAATAACAGATTCTCCAATTTCAAAACCAGTCACATAACAGCTAATGCAATTACAAAGCAGGGTCCCTGATCCTGGGAAACACTAGTCCCGATCTGCCCTGCATTTCCATGGGGAAATCAATGAGAAAGAAGTACCGCTAATGCTAAAACATACATCATATACTAAACAATTTATAGCACCTTAAAAAAGTATTCATCTCCCTGCAATTTCCATATTTTGTTGATATATGACCTTGCAATCAAGATATTTTCAAGTACGACTTTATATTTAGTATGAATTCTGATAAAGCTAAATCAATTCTGACAGTATTGTATGTAAATGATTCAGAAAATTAGATCATTCGCAAATATTCAACCCCCTTGGCTGTACACTTTATGAGTTCAAAAGATTAGTCTAACAGATCACAAAATTAGTGAAATGGTCGCTGTGTGTAATCAAACCTTATTTCAGAATGAATGCATCAATCTTTGTAAAGTTCCCTCAGTTTGATACTGAACATCAAAGCACAGCTCACATCGTGCTATACTACATAGGAATGACCAGGAGCTTTGACAGAGAAACACAGGGAAGGAGACACTGCTGATCAATGTGAGCTGGAATGGGCCATGTAGGGGCACTGCCTGGGAATGAACTTAATAGTGTCCAGCCAGGAAAGCAGGGTATTGGTTAGGGAAGCTGCAGTGACACATTGAAAGATGTGTCAGTAATATTGAAAGATTTGCTAAGTTCCGTGTCTGCGGCTGGAGTCTGAATTCACACACTGACACTACTCCCATTGACCAAATCCCTCTACAAAACGAATCTGTATGGACAAGGGGCAAGGAAGAAACCATCACTGAAAAAGACTCATCTTAAATCTCATACAGAGCTTGGGAGAAAGCAACAGTATTAAGTTTTGCTAGAGTTTTGTATAAAAAAAAGTTAATTGGAATTCAGCAACATGTGACATGATTGACAGTGGGTAAAAACGCTTCATTATATTTCAGTTCATTAAAGCTGCAATAACAGATAACCACAACAGCATTACACACATTCCATAACAACTCAACAACAATTAATAATGCTCTGTGTGATAGCCTTGGTCTAGCATGAGCAGTATCGGTACGTGGCACCGATATCCATTTTCTAGACTTCGGACTGCTCTTGTTCCCAACATTCAAACTCATAATCCCTGTTCTCTTCAAGAGGTTTGTGCTACAAATAGAAACCTAATGTTCCCAGTAGATATGGGAACAATAGCCATTACTTCAAGAGGCTGTGACCACAGGGACGTCTTCCCCAAACTTGTGAGCTAGAAGATCGGCCATGTAGCCTACAGAAGGGGGCTCATTATGTGGATAATGTGCTGTACTCTAGATGTGGAGGGATTTCTGAAGAAGTGGATGGCAAGTTGCCTTCCTTGATTAACACATCAATACTTCTGGACACGTTCGGCTTCTATCAAAATTAAGGCCCTTAGAAATAGTCTGAGGGAGACATGGACACTCAGAAAATGCAAATCTAGGAAAATTAAAATGAAATTATAATATCACTAGCAAGAGTGAAGAATTGAAACAAAGCACCAGAAAAGGAAAGAGCAGGTCTGAGCCTTAACCACAGAGATTGGAGGATCTGGTGAGTTAATATACAGTATTTCAACACTGTGAATTGTGCACACGAAGGTACAGAAACAAATGTTTAATAATTATAATAAAAAATGCAGGACTTGGTGGGAAGTGGGAACCGTTCACTTACCTATATCCTGTGCACAACATTTATGGGCAGAGTACAGTGGGTGTGACTTTAATGTTAGTCCTGGAGAGTCACTGTACAGTTTTCTAGGTCACCTGTTTCTAAAGACTGAGAACACCTGTAAATTGATGATGAATTAACCAAGTGAGAACTCTGGCCCGTGAGGACTAGAGGGTCCTGTGATTTTGGTCCCAAATAATCTCTAAAGTACCTTGTTTATTAAATTAACAGCGGTTAATCAAATGTTAATCAGCATAATGAATTGACCAAGAGCTTTTGGCTTAAATGTCAGTGCACCTGCTACATAAGTATGGTACTATCCTGATAATAACTTTATGAAGTTGTTCCAGTTGTATTATTTTGATAAATTTTTCGGCACTATTAAACTGCTGTAACACCGACATGGATAATGGAACAAAACATTTTAATTACTAGAAGATTTATTAACTAAGCATATTTTTTCCAGATGTTGGCAGGAACTAGGTTTCTTCCCACAGTCAAAAGATATACTGGTAGATAAATTGGCTTCTAGGAATCATGGCCCTGATGTGAGTGAGTGTGTCCTGCGATGGACTGGCTTCTGTTCCAGGATGTACCTGCCTTGTGCCTGTCGCTTGCCAGGACAAGCACTAGTTTGAAAAGAAAATGGAAGAAAATGAAATCATACATTTTAGTAATGAATATAAGGAAAACAGGAAGGTAAAGACTGGTTTCAGTTTTGTATCCATGACACACACAGACCCATCCTTCATATAAGGCACATTGAGTTTTGAAGTTGGTTTGGTAACAAAACCGGTAAATTTCTTAATAGCTCAAGTAAACACTAGACAAATTAGTTGTACAGACCTCGCCCTTGAATACTTATTTTAACCAACAACCTGTTTAGAAAGAACTTGAAAGCAGTATTTAAACAGACCTTTCTTTCACTGAAGCATGGAAAGATGGATGCACTATGATGAAATTCATTTGAAAAGGTGGTATCATTAACAAAGAGATACAAATAATGTCTCTATTGTAATCACAGAGGCTGGAACTGCATAGATATGCCTACCACTATGGAGACTGCTGAAAAAAAGGCTTTAGATGCAGTCTCTCTCCAGAGACAAGGAACAGGCCTCCCAGGTGCTGGAGCCTTACAAAGCCATGTGGTTGCTCTCTAGGTTCAATACACTGCTTTCATAATGAAAAGATTCATGTTCTCAGTTAATAACTGGCCTAAAGAGGCTTTCACTGACTGCATTAAGTGCAGTTATAATGGCTAGGTTTATTGAATAGATTAATATTTTACACAAGGAGTATTAAGTAATGTTGAGATTGTTCTAACTGGTAATAATTATCAGGAACTCACACTCAGCATTTACTGAAGCAAAAAAAATGTATTAAGTTTTTCAGAAAAAAACTATTGTCTGTTACATTTAAAAACTAATTCTAAATTTTATGTTTATCAGATAAAAAGCTCTTGTTGAAGGCATTAGCTTTTGCTTCAGAAAAGTCAGTGCAATTACACTGCAAATAATCTTGAAATCCACTTCAAAATTAATATTTATAATGTGAACCTATACTTTGGGTGTTTCTTAACATTAATATATACCAAACACATTTAACACTATTTCAAACAGTGAGCCAAAAGCATATTACTGAGAATTATCTGTGAAAAAACAGGCTTTTCTAAGTTTGCTCTAACAACTGCGTGTTTAAAATAGAAATTCCTTTCTAAACAATTCTAACCATTTGTCAATAATAAAAGAGCATTTAAGGTCTTCACCAGCGTTGCTTTCAAGAATTGCGAGTATATTTAAATCAAGAGCTGTAGAAATTCCAACACAGTCCACTTGCATGGGTTTCCTCTCTTAAGCTTCCTTAACATCCCATCACTTTCAATAACCACGGATGTGATTCAGTGTCACAGTGGTCTGGAGCCTCAGGAAACACTGGGGGCAAGGTGGGATACACCCAGGATGGGATACTAGTCCACACGCACACACACACACACACACACACCAACACGCACACACACCAGGCCCATTTCAGAGACGTCAGTTAACCTACCAGCATGTGTTTAGATTGCGGAAGGAAACTGGAATACCTGGAGGAAACCCATGCAAACACAGAAACATACAAACTCCAGACAGAAAACACCCCAGGGATCAAACTGAGGACCCCAGCGCTGCGCGGCAGCAGTGCTAACCACTGCATCACTGTGCCAGCTCCCTGCGTGTGTCAGATTTTGTGAAGTCGCCAAAAGATGTTCAAAAATACATCTTATCAAACTGTTTTATTCGAAAAGCTGAGTGCTCAAACTGAAGACTGAAGACGTGTTGCAGTAAAATGTGAGCAAACACTAAAAAGAAAAAACTGAAATCTCTTGATTGAATACATTTTCAGATCCATGAACTCAATGTTTGGTAGAAGCACATTTGGCAGCAATTGCAGCCACAAGTCATTTTGCTCATACAGTACGTCTCTACCAGCTTCGTACCTTGGCTTGGTGTAAATTCTTGCTCATTCTTCTTGGGAGATTTGCTCAATTTTTTGCTCTATTAAGGTTCTTGAGGAACTGCAGTTTTCAAGTCCTTGAACAGATTTCAAGTAAGGACCTTGACTGGGCCACTGAAAGACATTCAGTTTCTTATTCTTAAGCCACTCTAAGTTTCGATCACTGTGCTCTTGAAAGGTGAATTTTTGTCCCAGTTTCAGGCCTGAAGCAGATTCTTCTCGATGACTTGCCAATACTTCCGTTCCTATCAGTCTTGAACAGCTTCCTTTTGATGCAAAGCAGAATTACACTGCCATTCTAGACAGCAGGGATGGTGTTGACTGAGTGATGAACGACTGCACTGCATCTGCATTTAGCAACTTCCAATTTACTACCAGCAACCTCCAATTTAAGTCTTAATTGAAAAAAAGCCTTTTGTCACATTTTGCAGTATTTGGTAAGTGCTTTCTTGCAAACCCTGTGAGAATTTGAGATTTTTTGTTGTCAGTTTCTTACAAGCTCCTTTTGTGGAGTAACCTTTTGTGGATCTTGTTGACTGTTTGAAATCCCCCCCCCCACCATCTTAGCCACTGAACACTATAACCCTTGCAAAGTCACTGTTGGCTTCACTGTAGCATCCCTAACCACTTTCCTCCTTGCCCAGCTGCTCAGTTTGGACAGACGGCCTGTTCATGGCAGTGTCTAGGTGCCTTCCAGTTCATTATGTTCAAATTCATTATGCTCAAGAGAACCAGATATTATGGGTCTTTAAAATGTTTTTTATAGCCATCTCCTAATTTCTGCCTTTATACAACTTTATCTCTGAGTTGCTGTGAAAGCTCCCTGGTCTTTATGGCATGTTTGTTTATTCTGAAATCATGTGAACCACTATTACACACAGACAAAGAGCATTGAAGTTGCTGTGCGGCTCATTTAGGTAATTGTTTGTGTGCCTAGATTGATTCAGGTGTGCCACCGCAAAGGGATTGAATATTTCTGTAGTCATGACTTTTTCATTTTTCGTTCATAACATGTATGTACTTTTTTGCACTCAATGTATGGAGTAGGCTGTGTCTGTAAAACATACTCATTGCTACCTCAAATTGTCCTAACTGCAAGCTTTAAGGCAACAAAATGGGAAAATTGTGCAAGAGTTTGAATACAGTTGCAAGGTTACATACATGATCTATTGGTTTGTATAACATTATATATATTTCAAGAAACTGTACAATGTAAAATATTTTAACTGGCCTATAAAATACATCCCAAACAGAACTTGAAAAAAATAAAACTTTAAAACTAATCTTGATTAAATTCTATTTTCTAAGCTTTGGGGAAAATATTGGTATGCCAATTTAAGACTAATAAATTGTTCCTAACCTTCCAGGGTGAAGAAAAATTCATTTATATTTAAAAAATGCATTCAATTTTATTATTGTTTATTATTATTTTATTCATGTCAGTTGAGGGAGGACTAAATTTATGCTTAGGGGATAAAGAGTTACATAAAACTGGTAAATAATGCAGCATTATTTAACCAGCTAAATTTATTCACACGATAAAATTTTATATATTATGGGAACCTTTGGACAGAAATCATTATACATGCATTAATGGCTATTTAATTGGAAACAAGAAAAAAATAGGACTTTGTAGGGAGCTCCACACCCCCACAACTCTTTGCGAAAAGAAGTCTTTCCTTCTTTCAGGAATGACATTTTTCCATAATACTTCCACTTCAGAATTGGACAATGGAATCAGGTGTACATGCTTTAGAATGCCTTCTTATACAGATGACCCCTTTGACATTGCTCAGAATGTTAAATAACATCGAACGTCATCCGCTAACAGAAGTTATAAACTTGAAGACTTGAAATAAATTAATTGCTCTTACAATCACTCCATACATTTAAAAAGAGAAAAAACATGAATGGCACATAAAAGTCAAACCATTTAAGGCACACCTCCAGCAATTCCAAGTTATCATAACATCTCAACATAGCAATATATAAACAAAACTCTCTTGCCATCTCATGATATTCCTAATTTCATAATGCTGCACAGTTATTATTCTCTTTGAAATAAAGCAAAAGTGTGATATCATGCGATTCCTGTTGCCATTTTATTTTCATATCTTATGATATGACTAACCCTAAAAGATCAAAAATGGGAAAACAATAAAACTCTCAACACGGATCTAGGTGTTGCGGGACATTGAATAAGAAATTATCCATATTGAACTCAAGGGTTAATATAAAAGACAGCCTTTATGTGCATGAAATGCCAATTTGACCCAAGGCATCAGCTTCCAGGAAGGAAGTAAGAGAGAAAACAAAGCCCGAGCAACTGGAGTCCATGTGCCATATTGTCTCTCTAACAGGCAGAAACTGTAAACATGAGAGCTTTTTGAAAAAAAAAAAAACATACTTATGTAATTGCGACTCCTTTCTTGTCAAATAAAGACAGGAACTAATTACCCCTTCACTTTCTTGAATACTAAGTGATTATGATTTTTCCACTTCACCCAATATTTAAATAACAATGTCTTTTCTTTAGTCCAAAAGAAGGCTCTAATTACAAAAGTAAATCCATAAAAATGAGAACAATAAAAAATCACTTATATTATCAAAGTACTATTCACTATTTTGTGAAAAAAGTGCTTCTTGTCTTTGAACAGTGCACTCCCTCTTCATTCACAAGCAGAAGTACACCAGCTTTGACTGTATTTAAATAACATTTTATAAAGAGCAGGCAGGTTAAGGTGAATGCATTTATGCTTCCAGGTACTGTAAACTGGATGTTCTTTTCCGACACTGTAGGGTATCATGAACAGCCTCTACTTTGAAGGGCAACAAGTGCTAAAAATAAAATTTTAAAATTAAACCGTTTACAGCTTATGCTCTAGATCGATGCAAATGTTTTATGATAGTTTAGGAAAATTGGTTCAAGCCCACGTTTATTGTCGTATGTACCTGTGTACAATAAAATGGTTACTTGTATGGTTCCTTACATGACAAATTGCACAACAGATGACATAATGAAGACATTAAAAATTACATTACAAACGACATCACATCACTATGTGTGAGTTTGAGTGTGCTTTGACAATTACTAAATAAAATGTCATAACCATAAATTTTAATCTTTCTCTTTTTTATAAGTTTAGAATGATCAGTTATTTTTATTAACCAAATGTGCGTTTTTCATTTCTCAATCGCAATCGAGCTCCGAAGTGTGGATCTGCACACGGGAGTAGGAGGAAGTGTGGGCAGACCCCTCTCAGACTACACTGGCCTGAGCTGGAGGCTCAGTGTTGAGTGCAGGAGAGGAGCATCCCTCACTAACAGCACTGTATAGCTGCACGTGCAATTTAGGAGGACACATTTACTCTTTATTCATGCAGAACTGTAATGATTACTTTTAGGATTTTTGTATTTCAATAATGTATTATGATGACATGCTATAAATAGCTAATAATTATGGGTGGTTGATACATACATTAAAGAAATGCATAGTTAAAACATGATATCATGTGGAAATTAAATGTAGATTGGAGGACTAACTCTTGTGTGCCACTAGGTGGCGCTGTGTATTAGCTGTGGTAACCACATGGTCCTTCACATTTTTGTCATAGAAACAGATGTTTACTGTAGCACGAATTTTGCTAATTTTACCTGAAAAGGAAAAAACAACAACATTTCAGTCGGTTACAGAGCCCTTTTCAGCCCTTTTTTTTCCATGTAGTGTTCAGACGTCTTGTTGTTCCTTTGCATGTCTGCCTGCTGAATAGGCTTACCAGTCTAACCACTTTTAACAAATTTTAACTGAATCAGTTTTGCCACTACAACACCTCATCCCGGGTACACACAGTGGGGGGTGAGAGAGACTGCTGTCCAAATACGGTTGGAAGAGCCTTCCATCATTCCTCATGCTGGGATCATGCAGTGTTTTCAGCAGAATAACCAGTGATTGCAGGTAAGATCACCAACAACACAGCAAGCTCCCAGTTGTACAGCAAGTTGAGGCCACACTGCATCTTTAGTCCACCCACCCTGCTGGAGCTGAGCCGCCCTGCACTCCACCAGTTCAAGAATCTCAGCCTCTGTCACTCAAGACAAAGGCCAGACTGGCACCCGGTTACAGATGGTTACGAGCCATTACAGCTTCAGTCACAGGCAGGCAACCCATGGATACTTCCCACTCAGAAGGCCTGTTCGCATTATGAAACCCTTTAATTGTGCATCTAAAGTATGTATTCAAACAGTAAAGTCCTAGCACTTTTGTGCTAGTTAGAGAGAAATTTATACTGCACTTCTAAATTTAGTCGTACCGTGTTCTCCAATAAATCTAAGAAATTGCTGTAATCAGATTTCACAAGAATCAAACCAGGCTCAGAGAATACATAATTTATAAGGCAGCTTGATTTGAGATTCTCAGGGTATTCCCTGTTTACACGGAAGGCCCCGTGTTAGCGGACGTCTAAACATTTGCATATGTTCATAGCTGTATCTCCTCTGAGCCTTTTCTTTCCAACAGTAGAGACTGAGCATGCCATTTTGCCCCAGGGTTTTGAAATTTTATTATGCTTTTACACCTCATTCCAATTCTTCATCCATATCTAATATTTTTCTCATACTGTTGTTTGCTGGTTTTCGGAATACGGTATTTACAATGTCTGTCTCCATCCAGCCCTAGTTTTAAATAGACAAGTTAGGCAACACATCTAAGTAGGAAAAATAACTTAATTCAAAATGAACATTAATTCACAAACAATGCAATATATGCCAGAATAACTCAATCTGACAATCACAAAGAAAGGAATTCGAGGTCTTTTAAATGAAATATATAAAATATGACTTATTTTACCAGCGCAAGTCTCAGAAGGACATAATGCATATGCCTTTGGACCTAAAATTCCACCTACAGTCTACATTTTTGTAGTCTTTCCTGCAGGTTAGAAATTTCCAGTGCTGCAATTGTGCTTAATATTTCATAATCCTATTGTTAAAAACGTAGTGAGATTTTTTTTAAATAACAAAACAGAAATGTACAATGCAAGTCAGAAGAATGGGTCCTGGACTGTCTTGTACTGTTGGCTTCAAATGATCGATGATGCTGTCAGTCATTATCAAAGCTGACAATCTCGGCTTGACCACTTTCCCCAAGGTGAGACAGCAGCTTCCTGTAGGCACTTCTGGGAGACAGCGAGACAATAATAATCAGAACGCTTTTCAGAATCCTGGTAAAAGCAAGTGAGACAGTGGAATGGCCACCTTTGGATTAGTTAACATTCTAGATGTGATGCAGTCCTGGGAAATACACAGAAAACACTGTGTGATACTGATTAGTGTTCATGTGTTTAAAAGGAACTTACATATTAAAAAGTTCAGAACTTTTCAAACCATGTTGAAGAATAAATGCTGCGATTCTGAAAATTGTTTTAAAAAAAACAGAAATCTCATTTGGGATCTGCATGAAACCGAACACTTCCGAAAGTGATATACATACATATCTATGGAAGCTTGGATTCTAAACTTACACACTATGACCAATATCTTGTTTTCATAACATATCATAGCAAGATAACTTTTTTTTAATCAGTTATTAGAAATTGTTTGATTTTTTTAAGGATTACAAAGAACCACCTTCTTGCTTAGGCTAATATTAACGGGCATGCTAGAGTACATCAGAGGAGAAGCCTAAAGAGTTAAATCTAAGCTGAAACATCAAGAAAAATAATTTAAAGAGAAAAAAGAGCACTTAACAGTAATAGCACACAAATGACACAATTATTACTTCTTGTCTTTTTCCTCCAGGGCATTCTCATGTAGTCGTTTTTATATTTTGTGAGCTATTCACTATGCATCCAGCCACTGTATTCAATTTGCTGGTCTGTGTACTTATTTTCTTTAAGATTTCCAGTTGTTTTTCCAGCACGGTGGAGGAGCAGAGGGACAGAGAGTGGACTGTTGTTAACAATCAGGTATGACAGACTGGACAGGTAACCCTGGGGACTAGAATCCCAGTCGCCTGTACAGCTTTGATTAGCATAACGTTTCAACTGAGCAGTTTATGAGGCAGTGCTAATGGATAAGGTGTAAGTAGAATGAATGTGGTCTCCTACCTCTGTGCAGTGTTCTTGCCCAGACCTCTCTTATGTTCTGAGTTCCTGAGACAGAGAGACATGGTAGGTATAAGGCTGACAACCACAGGCTGGTCCAGAACTGCCACAGTCTCTAGGATACTGAACACTTGCTGGTCATACACCCACATATGCTCCTCAATAAATTGCCTGAAAAACAAAGATTGCATCCATCAGTTATGGTTTTGTGCATTGATCTCCAGTCAATTCATATGTTTTACTCATACAACCTTTTCTATTGATTAATTATAAACACTTAATTAGGGTATGGGTATTTCTGAACATGATAGAAAGGAGGTTCACACTGCTACAGAGCTGAACAGCAAATCAAAACTTTTATTTTAATAAACAACAATGAAAAAATTAAACCAAGTTCAATTTTCTACAAAAGAACCAATACCATGTGCAATGTAAAAGCCTGATGAACACAAATTGTTCAACCGAATAAAAATGCAAAGGTCCAGTTTATAACTGAAATCACCAGTCATATAACAAATGGAACTGAAATGCATTATAATTCGAAGGCAAAATGTCATCTAATCAAAAGTGTAAAAAAAACAAAGCTTCCTTGACTTGAAAATCAAAAAGAAAAACTTTTTTCCTAATGTTGTATAATTGCCTTATATTTCCTTATATCGATAATTGTTATTACTGCAGGAATACCCATGTCAAAAACATGTCCACCTGACCTGTTCCACGTCTCTTCAAAGCAAAGAATGATGGAGCCATGCTCCTTGTGGACGAAAAGGTCACACTAAGCACAAGCCAAGTAGAATATAGCCCTGAGACCAAGACGATGCCATGGCACGTCATGATTTTGAGAATTACTGCTAGACAACAAACAATTTCAATTCAACAAGGTACCTTTCCAAATGACAAGGTAGGTGAATACATTTGAACTACTCTAGAATTGATGGTTCTTACCTTAAAACAGCAATCAGCTGGGAGCAGGGCCGCTCTGCTGCAGCTGCATGGCAACTCTCAACCACAAGCTGCAGTGTGTCTGTGCTCAGCTTTTTCACTGAACATGGAACGGAAACAATGGCAGCAAGATTACACACAGTACTGAAGACACTGGTAGAGACAGTGTAACACTTTAAAAAAAAAACAATTGGCCTCCTATCACTCTACTGCACTACAGTTCTTTATTTTTTATTTTGCACTGGACTAGATATAAAGAGCACAAACCTAACATTCATTATGATATGCGTGTTTGGCATCTAAACTACAAACAAGCTACGATTTAGGATAACAACTATTATTGGCAGGTTTTAGGATGGTTGAAAGACTGGGCAATTCAGTACAAACTGGCCAAATCTACTTTTATGTTACAGAGCACAGAAGAGCATCTATTCTTCAGGCGGTTAATTACAATCTTTTACGGAACTACGGATTGAGCTCCTGCCTGCTCTATGACAGCATGAGTTTCTGCACAGATCTGGAAAGAAAACGCTTTGTTGTCCACAATCATTTTTTAGGTTTTAAAAAATAGAAACCGCATGGAATGAAAATGATCCTATTCAGAGTACTAACTAAAGACTCCCCCCTAAAGACCACAGCAGCATAAATTGCACACAGCAACAGAGGTGTGCCGCTTCCGGCGCACCTGACATGGAAGCAGAATCCTACATGGCAATCTTCACAGGGACTCTCACCTTGGGGCTCATTCACCAGAACCAAGCACTTGAGCACTGCTGGCAGGGGGCCAGTGTAGAAAGCCGGGTCGCTGTCCTTGGCTCTTCTCAGCACCTCGTGGAGGAGCGACAGCACAGACGCCAAACGCGTTGGGGGTGCATGGCCTTTGAACTGCATGTAACTGTCACTGAAAGGTGCCAAAACAAATTACTGACAAATCCACAACACTGGCCACAGACAGAAAGAGGTTTCTCTGATAACATCAAAGGTATTTCTGCTTTGAAGTGCAGGAAAGCGGCTTTTGCCCATGTACTGTATATCTCCCCTAGTTGCTCCCTCTGAACCCTTACCAGTCCAGAGAAGAGCACCCAGGTACGTTCTGGAGCTTAAGGGAATCCCCAAAGGCACTGACAAAGTCAACACAACAGATTTCTTTTGATGAACAGTGAAACTTGAACCAAAAAGAAGGCATTTCGTTAACCAAAGGGTTGTGGGAGTCAGGAACAAGCTACCCAGCCATGTTAATGAAGCTGATATCCTGACATCTTTCAAGAAATGGTGGGGTGGGGGATGAGATCCTTGTATTAAATTAACCTCCAAAAAGGGCTTAGATGGGCTGAATGGCCTCTTCTCTTTTGCAACATTTCTTAAGAAGAAACATAACTACATAACTAAGCTGTTCAAACTCTGAAACATAAAAAAAATCCAATTTCTACTCTTTTGAACCCTTAACCCCTTTTGCAAATGGCACCCACAGGCACACTCAAACCGAATATGTTGAAAATGTGGGAAATGAATTCAATCTCATGCTGTAGATTAGGAAAGTCCTGAGAGACTTGCTCTTACACTGTAACCTGGAGAACGGCGTTCTTTAGAGGGATGATCCTGGGGCTTGCTGTGGTCTCGCAGATGGCCAGCAGGACTGGGTGGTTAGCGATGGCTGAGCCAGAGGGGGAAGATGGGAGAAAGCGGCCTAGGTACTGCTGGATGACACTGCGGAGCTGCTGCTTCAGGTAAGTCCCCTGCTGCTGGGACAGAGCTGACGCCACAGAAAGACCCTTGAAAATAGAAGGAGATGGATGCTTTGTAAGGTAAGCAGCACAGTAAAAAACAAAACATGTGCCTGTTCTTTGCTGGGAGAAGGGCAGAGTCCCTGTAAACCAACAGATACTGACCTGGAGGTAGAGAGGGAGGCTCTCCTTGACTGCAGACAGAACCTGCGGAGGAAGACCTTTGTCCTGCTGGAACAGGGCATGAGGGAGGAGGAGACTGTCAATTATGCGGAACAGTAACTGTTGAGCTTTGGATGTGGCCAGTATTGGACTCCACTGCTTCACCAAACACCCTGCAATACACAAACAGTCACGCTTTAGGACATCTGAGAAAGAAACCCAGGAAACACAAATAAACAGTGTTTACAAATGCATTAGAGGATAGGGAATGTTTTACACACAGAGCAACGGGAATGTACACAGATTCCTGTACATCAATTAAACAAGTTAATTCTATCCAATGCAACAGAAATTGTTTGATTTCTGTGGTTTTTAAACTGTTCCCTGTTCATATGTAAATAATACAGTAGTTATAGACCTGAATATAAAACAAGTGTATCAGTAACTCTGTTAACTTGCCATCCTAGAATCTAAATTCTGTGAGATTATTCAAAATACATGCTCCAATGAATGCCCTGTATTGGACTATTACATTAGATACTATATAAAACGTTGATGTTTTGCTGGAATGAGAAAAAATGGGAACTGGTTTCCGAGGATGAGAGCTGTGCTTTATTATCTGTTGCAGCTGGCGAGGACTCTCACCTCTTCTATCTGAATCTTTTTTTTGCCTACCTTTCATTCGGAGATGAAAGGTCCCGGCTGCAACAAAGCAGCTCTATTAACATGCGAGATGCATCAAAGACAGTGGTGCCAAAGGTGCTGGTCACTTCATTAACATCTTACTTAGGCATGATTGAGCTCATAACCGTGAACTCCTACAGATCATGTGAATGGTGGAAAGGAATGAATTAGGCTTCATTGTCTTCCACAGTTTGCCCCGTTCTTTTTAATTGGTCTTATTTCTGTCCAGACATGTTGCAGGAGCTGATGCCCTGGCTCTTATCAAGAAACAGCTGGATGGGACCCTTGAACAATTAGCTACTCCTAACCTAAAAAGACACAGACTGGAAGACCCTCCTCTAATTTGTAACCTTCCTAGCGTTCTGTCCTGTGGCCCATCCCCTCCAACCGCCTGGGTTTCTTTTGAAGTCACACAAAAATACCAACAAGGCAAAGTTTACTACTTGTGGGACAATTTATAAATTCAACTCAAGTTCTAATTCAATCCCAAATCAATTGGATTCGACTACAACAATTATCTGTATGAAAAGGCTTTTATTTTTTTCTCTAAAATAAATTAAATAAAATCCATTTCTACTGAAGTTCACTCACATTGGTCAATGCAAATTAACAATTATGCTGTTAAAACTAAATAATGCGACTCGCATACTGCTGTCATACTCAGATGCGCGTACTGTTTTTCATGAGTAATGAAGTGACATTAGGCAGACTGCCTAATATTAAATGATCATTGTACTGCTCTGTAATTGCAGAAATGACAGCCACCATGTCATGAATTTAGAATCTCTTAATCCTTTATTGAAGGAAAAAGGCTTAAGCATTAAATACATGACAGACTGAGTCGAAACAGGTAGGGTTTTAGTTACAGATTAATTTGGGCACCTTCGTCAATCACATTTTCAAAACAAAGAGGCAAAGACAGCCATGGGAGTAAAGTATTTAATTAATAGAAACTGTTAACTAGATACATACCTACTGCCCAGTAAGCCAAATGGAGTCCTTCTTGAGGTCCCTTATTAATCAAGTAGGGTTTAATGTACTTCATAACATCCCCCACATACTCCAAGACCTTCGAAACCATGGATGACTTCTCTGCTAATGTCTGCAATCCAGCGAAGGCTCTTCCAACAGCCTGTCAAACCAGAGTGATAACGGCTATGGCATATTAAAAACGCTAAATGTTTAAAGTAACAGGAAACATTTTCAACACAAGGGTTTATATTTCATTTAATTTGCCCTTTTCAGTAATACTACTCTTCAGAAAGTAAAAAGTACTACTTTCAAAGTAGAGCAGTAATTTCTGTAAAAGTCCTTTCCCCCACTTTCTGTTGCAGCAGGAGGTCCAGATTAGAGCTATCATCAAGAAAGAGTACTAAGTTTTGAATTTAGAAGAATGGTCGAAAAAGAAGGGACTAGTTTGCAAAATGTCCCTAGATCTATACATTCAAGGTACATACATACAAGGTACCAACACTGGGCCCCTGTTTGCAAGAGGTCAGATTCACACTGTGAAGATCGTCTAAGTGGCTCCTTTGATGAACAGGATTTCTGGAAGTAGAATGTATAATATCCCAACTGTTGTCTTAGAAAACTGAGGCAGAATGGTGGTGCAGTTCCTGTGTCGGTATGTCCTGACTGTGTTTGCATGGGTTTCCTCCCACAGTCCTTAGACATACTGGTAGGTTAATTGGCTCCTGAGTAAACTGGCCCTGATATTTGGATGTGAGTGTTTGTGTCTGTGGTTGCCCTGCTTTGGACTGGCATCCCTTCCAGGGTGAATCCAGTCTTGTGCCCAGTGCTTCCTGGCACAGGCTCTGATCCACCATGATCCTGAACTAGATAAGTGGTTATTGAAAGTGATATGATGTTGTTTAAGAAAATTATTTAATCTTCAACATTCCAGTCCATATTCCAAATAAAATCTGCTGGTAAGAGTTTGTATGAAGCCTATACAAAAAGCACACTTCCACATTTTCTGCAAGCCTTTGAAAACAGCATTAATAATTTCTCTACAAGACAGTGTAATCATTTTTATAGCATTTCTAAAACACTTCCTGAGTTTAACACAACAATAACAAGTAAAACATTAATGAGATACATTTACTTCCAAGTGGTACTCTTCTAAAATTCCAAGAGCAGTTTGTTTAGTTTGCTGAAAGGAACACAGGAAACAGTTTCAATGTCTCATCACACCCTCTTTATGGGATACCTTAATAAAAAGGGAGAGAGCAGGTCTGGGCTCCAGCCTGATAGCCGGCTGCTCTATTTGTGCTCTCTGGAGTAGCGATTCCATTTCAGGCAATTTAAATATCAGTCTAGTAAGCTCTGAGAGCTGACCACTATTTCCCTTTCCTGTAAAAGAAAACAAGAAACCAGAACCAACATTACAACAAAACTACAGACAAGCAGAGGAGCAAGATGGTGGGCTGGTCATTATAATTATTGTCATCACTGCTATCGTGCAAATTTTCAAAAGCTCATTTGTAAAGATAAAACATTTGATATACTTTCAAATGCTAAAGAAGAATAGCTGTAGGTATCAGCAGGAATAATATTCACATGCCCAAGGTATTTGGTAAGGAAGCATTAATTTGAAATCAGTACAAAATATACTGCACATCTCTCCTAAAACAGAATTTTAAAAACTACACTAAACAAAGAATTCAACATTAGTTTAAACAATTCAACAAACATAAATGACTAGATTTAAAGTTTATTTAAAAGCTTCTTCAAAGAATCACCTTTTCTTTATATTGCCTAGAGAGCTGAAATCGACATAAAAAGAGATGTGTTTCTTACCAGCGCGACTGGTATCAGCACTATCAGAACCAGAAGCTGTCCTGTTGACATAGAGCTGGAGGACACAGCGGAACCAGGAGCGAATAGAGAGGGCCTGGAAAGAACTGGTCCCAGACCCACAGCCAGATTCTACCAATGCGCTGGAGACAGACAGGAGGAACTTTGAAATTTGTGTCAACATAGAATTCTAAGAAGAAATTGGTAGGACTGTACCAAATGGAAAGACGTTATTACTCACTTTTCTAAAGGTCAACTGATAAGGGAAATAAGTAAGAAAAGTTAGAAAATAAGTTTTAAAGGCTAACACTGTACAGCTTTTCATGTGCACACAGCGCAAATCATATCCTCAAATGTGATTTGTTCTGAGCTACTCTTAACATTATTTTCAATGGGCAACAGATCACCATCCAAAGAGCCAAGGAATCACCATCTAATCACCCAAAGGAAAACAGCCTTCATTCGTATAGTAAGTCACAAATTCACAAATAGAACTTTATAATATGGCTAAAAATTATCATGCAGATCCCAAGAACAAAATATATAGTATACAGTATGTGCAGGGCCAGAATCTCAATGAAGCACGCAAAATCTGAAGGGCCAGATGTTGGATCGAACTCCCATCCACCCTGTCACGGCAAGCTGATACCGTGGAGACACAGCTTTTCCATTCCATCCGGGAAAAAAAAAGGTTTGGAATAAAATCAGAATACCACTATAACTCTGCAATCTAGAGGAGCAGTCTCTACTTGCATTGCGGCAGGGCACTAATTCCAAAGGGACTCTGTCTTTAAAGGGAGAATCGCTTCACATAGTGGGTTTACTCCTCAAAAGGTACCCTATGTAGACGTCCAAAACCATTTCCATTACCCTCGGGTGGCACCCTTCGTTTTCATTTGGGCCCCATTCAGTCAGAATAGCGGTTAGGGGCTGAATGATGACGAGATGGACTGTATGCAATAACAAAGCGCGAGTCTGTACCTAGAGCACAAGTTTTGTTCAGGGGTCCACTAGGACCAGGACATAGCATCTGTGGAGAACGGTAAGGAATTTCTGGCATGAGTACGAGACTTCAATCAGACTACACCTGTGCAATACAGGATGTTTAGTTCAGCTACGGACTCATAATTGCAGCCTTTGAATATGCAAAAGACAAGTGGCAAAACCTACGTCATGAATGACAGCCAATGATACCACTTATCTTGCGGGGCTGTGCCAGGTGTAAAGACAAACAGGACTGCCTGTAGGGTCCAATGTTTGTCCAGTGACTCTGGAAAGTCAGACTCTTGAGTCTGGTGAATAAAAAGACTCAGTAGTATAAAATCTAGAGGTGTAAAGAGGATACAAGTGCCAGACAAATGACCACATAGCTTGGCTCCCAAGGCTCAGATGCTGAACATGAAGAACATAGCAAGGACTGCACCATACACTTTGACAAAGTCTGGGACGTTAGTGACAACCAAAAAAAATGGCACAGAATTCAAGAGTCCATGTCAAATGCAAAACTCTTGTGGTGCTCTGTACAATGGGGACATGGAAGTCATGTTCTTCAGATGGATGGAAGAAAACCAGTCCCCTAACAGGAACAACTGGAGGAGCCAGTGACAGATGCAGTACTTGAGCTACTACCTGAGTTCAAAGCACTACTGACCTTGACAACCGTCATCGCCTGGAGTCTAAGGCTGACAATGGGAGGGGGAGGAAAGTGGTGGCAAGGCTGAACTGGAGATGCAGGTGGAAGAAGATGCAACTATAACATCAATTATGATGTATATTCTACAACTGTAGAAAAAGCCTGGTGCAGTGATGGATCAATGGTGGGATATATCTGGGAAGGAGCTCTGAGCCTATGGGGTTGTCTCTGAAGAAGGGTAACAGTCCACCCAAGCCAACAAGGTTATTCATGTGAACACAACATCAGACTCTCCATCTTGTCATGCCTGATGTCACCAGAAAAGTGATGAAAAGCAAACACACGCTCAGAAGAAGATAGAGGCATTGCCCATTTGGTAATAGAAGCATTCCACCTTGAAAGGGACAGGTACTGCACATTTGTGGCAGTACTGCAGCAGAAAAAGAGAAATAATTCTTGGCAGCGATGCTCTAGACGTTCAATGAGATGTTGGAATCCAGTCTCTTTTGCAGATGAATTCAATGATAACAGAATAAATGGTGCCCATTAAATTATTTATTTTGCCGTGGGATCTTTACAAACTAATTTATTTTAACATTTTAGTGCTTTAAATAATGATATCTGCTTCAGAGTTTTTCCTCTGGTCTTGCCTGTTTGTTTTACGCCATGATTGGGAAATCAGTTTACTTGTAGTTTTTGTACTTGTACATTATTGTAACTATCTTTATGTGTAAAACATAGCTGCTTGGTGCTCAGTGATGTGATGCCCATTTAATATTGGTGTATTAACTGTGCTAAAATTTTGACCAGTGATGCCTTGACACAAAATCCACGCACTGTGCAACTAGCTGTTTTACTATTTTCAGATACTTTAAAAAAAAAACTTTGATGATGTTACTGAGAAGACAGCTACATTTATCTTTATATTGTGTTCAGAAAATGATTATGGGTTCCTTATGTAACAGGACGGAGTGGTGCCACTGTGGTTAAGGATCTGTGCATTTGGCTGGAAGGTTGCCGGTTCAAATCCCGCGGCCGGCAGAGGAATCCTACTCCGTTGGGCCCCTGAGCAAGGCCCTTAACCCCAGGTGCTCCAGGGGCGCTGTATAAAATGGCGGACCCCGTGCTCTGACCCCAAGCTTCTCTCTCCCCGTTTGTGTGCCTATATGTGTCATGGAGAGAAGGCTGGGGTATGCAAAAAGACAAATTCCTAATGCAAGAAACTGTATATGGCTAATAAAATGATCTCTCTTATCTCTCTCTCTAATATATTTTCCCCGTATATATAAGACTTCAGCCATATATACTGGTATACCCCTACTTTGTTCAGAATCTATAAAGATGGGAAATTCACTGGCAACAATCTAGTCTAATACACGTGTACATTTTGGGGGAAGATCAATTTAAAAGAAAATATCAAATCTGGACAGAGTGGAATTTTTCAAATACTTAACATATCGTTGACGACAGCCTGCCTAACTTCACAGGAAGCAGCTCAAACGGAGACCCTAATCAATTTCCACATTCTAAAATATAACTACTGGAATAAAAATAACTTTCTAAATAATTAAATTAAATGTTATTTGGGAGGATTGGTATTTATTTGTGTTGCTACTGTATAAGCGCTACAGTTTTGAAATCATATTGCCATTGTACGTTATTAGATGGTATGTGATGTAACGTGAAGCTCCAAAACGTATTTGGCTTTTTGTGTCATTTAGTAGACATATTTACTGCACAGGGAGAATGTGTAAATTAGGCAGAGGCGTGATTTAATTCAAATTGTCATAACACGGTTTGTTGTTAGTGCTGGTTTTGAACCTTGGAAAAAAACTTTTGAAAAGACATGCAATCTTGTTTGGCAATTAACACATTTTAATAGGTTTTTGTTCATTTTAAGTGATACCTGGCAACATAAAACATTTTAAATCTGGAAATATTTTTTCCAACAAATATAAATTGCACTAGCCATTTGAATGTATGTAATCAGCAGGGGACAAGTTAAGGGCTACATTTCTTCAGACAAAAGTCAAGATGCCAGAAGAGTAAGACAGCAGCTTTTCTGCAGGTCAGTTTTGGAATGTTGCTTGGGCAAAGGACAGTATTTCAAGCCAGCATGACAGCAAATGATTTGTCCTGTGAAAGATTCTTTATTAAGATGCGGTCTTAACAGTGGTTTGGACTAAGACTTAGATCACTATATCCCTATACTTTACATACAGTATATAGCTCTAGAATAGGATCATAATAAACATTTTAAAGACAAACCTGTTTTGAATGAGATGGCTGAGGTATCTGGTGACGAGCTGCGTGTTTAACATCTCATCCCATCCGAAGTTTTGCATCATGGCCAGGACTGGCTGGGGCTGGAGCTCTGAGGGAGCAGAGCTGGGCAAGTCCATCGCCAACAGCGAGAAACCTGAGACAGGAGCGACAGCTGTCAGTTCTGCATGTGGAGGTAAACATGCAAAATACCTCCCATGTTAGAACCCACCCAAGTCAGCTGATAACTGTATGAATAAGCAGGATAATTATCTGTGATTTATTCTACATACTGTACGTCAAATACCTTTTGAGATTTTAAGTTTCTAAAAAGTTTTGAAAGCAGCCATTGTTAACATGTATACCTTCATTACTTATTATAAAACCAGAATATTTTCAAAAATAAATGTCTCAAAAACATAAGAATTAACTTGAATTTAGTTCCTGGTTTTAAACTTGGTTTGTGGAAGTGCGTAACTACAGTCCTGGAATCATTACTTCCTTAGTGATAGTTTAATAGGGATATAGGTATTGAGCTGCAGAACTGAAGGAATGATTAGTTTTTGTCTCCTCAAATAAATCAAAATGATAATTGAAAAACTTATGGTAAGGTTTTTATGGTCAATCCCAGTCGTTAGAAATATGACGTACTAAGATTAAATGAGCTTCAATTCCATTTTAAAAAGGTGAATATCAAATGGCACTTCGGAAAGAAAAATCGGAAAGAAACATAATAAATGTTGACACATGTTGTTGAGAGCTGTTGTCATGCAAACAGCTCTCTTGTGTCCTTGGTGCGGGCTGCTTTGTGAAAGGCAAGGCTGTGCTTTTTTTCCCCCGAGTGTCTTAAACTGACCTGCAGCAGTATCAGCAAGCTGGGGAGGAGGTGTCTGTGACAGCCTCAGGCTCTTTAGAAAGTGAAAAAAATTCCCCCACAGTGCACTGGCAATGGCTAGGTGGCGCTCTTTAGCCACAAATGGAGTAGGAGCATTCTGGACTGCAGCCGTGTGGCTCTGCTGAAGTGACTGGGCTGAGCGCTTGTAAACACTCCTATAGGAGAAACAAAGAAAAAAAGGATGAAAGTTTTGGCATGTAAAATGCAGCTGAATAAGCTTTTCTGTCATTTTCCTGTCAGCATTTCTTATATGGCATGTGTGTACTGCTACTTCCACAGCTTGAGAAACCTATCTATACTAAATACAATTCAACAAAGCATTTGACTATACAAAACAAGCAAACAAACAAATCAATAAAAAGGCTCCCTAACTAGGGGGTGTGCTTGATAGAGGTTCACCTTTTTCCTTGAGAAGCAATCATGAACATTTTTATTTGATGAGGAAGGTGCTTATTGTTGCAAGGCATTTAGCCGATTTCCAGGTTTCTAAGAAACACGAGGACTCGTGCTAAGCAGAAGCTGCCAGACTGTATATGCCTGAATTCATTCATCAGAGTGGATTGATTTTCTGGTTTTCAGTGCCCAAAGCAGATTCCCTGCTTCATATAATAGTGTATGTAAACAAATCAGTGTTCCATCACCAGGGCTGCCCTGTATTGAATTTTCTGGTTCCAAGTCACCAGTTCTTAGTTATCCAGAGCAAGATCTAACACAATGTATCCCTTGGTAGCTCATATAAAGTGCACTGTGTAGCTTTTAACTCTGTCAAACTGCAGTTTTCATTCATATCTCCATACATTGTTAAAAAATCCACGCAATCCTGGTAAGATGACCCAGAACCTGTCCCAGAAACACAAGGGTCAAAGCAGGACTACACATCCTGGATGGGACGCCAGTCCGTTGTAGGATGCACACAAATGTGGGAATAATTTGGAAAAGCAAATCTGTAATTATTTAGTAGCAATGGAAACAGCTAATCGCACAAGTCTAGGCTTTTGTAGAGCATTAGAAAGGGCATTTTCAATAGAATTTTCATTTGCAAATCAGTAACGAGTTAGCTAAGCTGACACAGTGTTGCAAGCCACCAATATGGAAAATTGACATATGAGAAACAAAGCCTGATATGAATGTGTAAAACTGGATAACGATGCATAAGAACAGTTTTATGGAAGGCAGAGCAACTGCTTGAATGTCTTATCTGAGCTCATAATCTAATGATTCATATATATGCATTTTCATAATTGTTTCTCAGTCTAGTCTTGTTAACTTGGCTTTACGCTGATCTTGCTGGGATTTGTGGTATGTGCACCTCACAGGGGCTTGCTGGAAATAGCAGCAAGGCTAGTAAGTCAGGTTTAAATCCTCCTTTTTAAGACATGTGGCTGACAAGGACTCCCTCTGGACATGTATTTATGGACGTATGTGTATGTATAAAATAAATAGGGAAAATCCAGCAGTCTACAAATATTTATTGTGCTTGCCAACAAGAACCAGTGCAGATGAGCCCTGACTACCCACAGTAATCCCCCAGTCTCATTTGCGTATTGTGTAGAACAACAATTCAAACCTATCTACAGCAAACACAACAATTCAAACTAAAGCACTAGTAGCCCTGGACACACTACTAAAGCCAGTTAATGTAGCACATCAAAACAATCAGAGTTTAACAATCCCTTTCAGTAAAAGTAGCCAGGGAATTCACAATCCCACAAAAAATTATATACTTTTTGTCAACATTGGTATGCACATTTTTGTCTGATCTATTTAATCATTGTATTTAAGACTTTTTTTTTCAGCATGATACAATGATTTTACTGATAAATTCCCAAATCATAAAAAAATCATTGTTTGTAGGATATAAGCAATGCACATATAGAAGAGAGTCTGAAATGCAAGCCGGGGAAAAGTGGGGAGGCCATCAGAGAGGTGTTAATCCCCGAAATTGGATTCTGAGCCTCCTGTTTATGTTGCCTACCCTGCTGTTTATGATGTTACGTGGTCTTGATCCCTTATCCCTGGACAGAAAAAAAGTAAGAGCAAGGCTGGAAGCCACACAGTGTGAATGTAAACAGCAGCTCTCAAAACCAATTATTTCTACAAGTGACACGTTAGTCACAGCATTTCTGTACCTTGCTGCATCAGCAGAGCATGGCCAATATCTGGCATGGGAATCCTGAGTCTACACCAGTTATCTACAGTACATGCCCAGTGCTCCTGACATAAGGGTCTCTCCAACATGTGATCTGACTATGCTAGCCAATCCATTCTTTAAGAGATGAATGCGGCCATTAACATACAACTATGGATAAAACACTAATAAAAAAACAACTGCGGGAGACTTGGGAGTGTTTTATTGAATTTGCTATTTTCATAAATCAGGGCTTTTATTCAACTCCCTCTTGGCTAGCTAAAACTCCTGAGGTGCATGGCATATATATGCCAGGACAAATACCTGAATGGTCAAACAGAAATCTTAATCTGTATATGACAGTAAAAATGAGATGCCTGCCAAAATTAGCCCATCTGAAATAAGATGCCAAAATCTGAAATACTTAATGTTTTTCAAGAAATTGAAATCAGAAATCTGCAAGAATGCCAAGAGCAGCTCTTGACCCAGGATTTAAAAGCACCTGTGCTTCCTACAGACATAAAAGCAATGAAAACACAGAAATACACCTCATTCCCAATGCTGAGGTGTAGCCAATGCACTATCAGGTGTCACATCCCATACCTGAAAGAGATGAAAAGGGCAGTCTATGGAGGAAATGTACACAGGCACCTTTTTTTTCTATTACCACCATCTTGAAGCAAGACGAGATGTTTTGGGAAAAAGAAAGGAACTGGAACTAGAGAGAAATAAAATTTCCCAGTACAACAATATACTTTTTATTAGCTGTATTTTTTTTTATAAATGTAACTGCCTGAATAAAAAAAAAAGTATAGCAACCAGGATATTTATCACCCCTTGGTGTCCATAAAATACGTTTAAATAAAGCAGAAAGAAAAATTTAAAACAACATAAGAAATGAATCACTGCCATTGTTTAATTCACCCAACACATAAATTAAAACAACTCCTGTGTTCATTACGTTCACTAAACATGCTGGGGGAAGGGATAATAATCCTTGTTTGTGACCGAGTCGGCTGGGGCTGAGGTACTGTACTGCTGATGCTGTCAAGCCCACTGGGGCTGCACACTCAGCAGCTTGGGGGGGAGTTCAACCAGCTCTGCCCAGAAGCAGCTAGCTGACTTGAGCTCCGCCACCACAATCACCAGGACAGGAGGTGAACCGTGGCAGAAACTCTCAAAGGAGCATGGACAGCAGAGAAGCCGTAGTCACAGAAGGCTAAGAATATGTACAGGTGAGAGAGCTGTGCCCTCGATCCCCAAACATCACTCAAACAATCACAGGGCTAGGCTAATGAAGGTTTTTCACTAAACCGCCATGTAATTTTCAAATGCCTAAGACTTCCAAACCCCTAGACGACAGCAGATGAAAGCCTTTAGAAAACTGTAAAGGCCTGCTGGAAGTTGTGTTACAGCAAAAACTACACCAACAGTAACAGACCAGCGATAATGGATTCCTGACAATGTGCTCAAAAATGTGTTGTGTGTCAAAATCAATGCAGAGGTCTTAATCTTAGCAAGTTGTGTCTATAGTAAAATTATGTTCCTGACAAGGTGATTGGTCACATGGTTTGGCCGCCATCTTGGATTTGGTGAAAACTACCTGTATGCCTTCACTGCATAAAACAACCAAAAAAGTAGTATCAGTAATATTTGACAAGACTGATCATGGCAAGCTGCTAACTTAAAAAAAACAGTTGTAATGAGCCAATCAATTTGAAGATCTGAATACAATGCATACATTTCAAATTACCTCTCAGTGGTATATCTTGTGCTAGATTCATGAAAATGTGTGTGATCTGGATATGGATCTGCAGTGATTGTGGAAAGGGCATATTATTGATCATATAATGAGGTCACACCGTGTGACTTCCCTATGTGAGAACTGCGGAGTGTTGCTCAATTTTCCACAAAAAATCTTTAAAACCAATGAATGAACAGATCTGAAACTTGCACAACGTCACCTCATTCCTAACTTGTTGAGGGCAAAGAAATATCAGATTATGGTTTCTCTGAATACATTTGGCCAGTTGGAACAAATCTTTGTCCTGAGAGGGAGCTTGTCTAATCTCTGTATATTGTTCCAATTATGTCTGCATTACAAAGCATGCCTTGAGCCTATGAGCTAATCAATTTTCAAATATGCTTAACATACATTTATTTACCTATGTTGCAATGTACAGTACATGTAGAGTAGAATGTTTTTGGCCTGTGGGCAATGACAGATAAATAGTAGACTATAGGAATAACATCCCACTAAATAACCAAATAAAGATAATGGTTCACAGGATTTTGTAGCCATTAAGAAGGCCTTCTGGTTAAATGAAAAATGTCCAAAAAGTGGGCCACAAACAGGAACTCTCTTCTGCTATAAGAAAACTACTTCTCATGACATGACTTCTCAAGACAGAGAATCTTCCTAAAAATCACAAATAAAAATTAAGACTCTTTGCAGAGTGCAGATAAGTGATGAATATATATATACACACATACACAGAGCAACCTATGCAGTATTTACTCTATGAAAATGTGCATATGACATTTGACCCTTCTAACAGGTCAAACATTTGTGTTTGAATTACTTAGAGGTTCATGGTTTTTCCAGGACAGAACATACAGTACAGAGAGTCATACATATACAATGACAGGAGACTGAAACTATTTATGAACTAATTGGTTTAATTATTTATAACTATGTGACTGTAGTACTTCAAACCCCCTTCCAAATTAATGAATACATAGCCGTACTTTCAAATGAAAACTAATGGGATGAGAACAGCAGGCACTGTTACACAAAGGGCTGTGGGAGTCTGGAAAAAGCAACCTAGCCATGTTTTTAAGTTGGTACCCTGGCTTCTTTCAAAAAACAGCTGTATATTTGGAATCAACCATTTCATTTCTCTAGTGCCCTCGGACCTTGCTATTGCCAAACAGTCAATGAATTCAGCTCACCACTTTCAAACCTTGTGCCAGCACTGGAAAGATGAAGCAAATGCACATGTCTCCTCCTAAATATGTTGAGCTTGT